GCGGCCTTACTCACCGGGTCCGGCGAGGGAGGCACGGGCTCCCCGAGACAGGGCAGACACAGCCCCATGGGGACGGCGGCTGCAGGTCCCCCCGCCTGGCCGGTAAGTGCGCAGGGCACGGCGCGGGGACACGCGCGTCCCACCCAGAAGGGCCGCGCTCCCGGGCCCCCGCCGCGGCCGCCGGTGTCTTCGCGGCTCGGCTCCGCCCCTCGTTGCCACAATCCTGCCGCTCGCGACTCCGCCCCGGCACCGCGGCTCGCTTCCGCCCCCCGGAGGCGACTCCGCACCCCAACCTCCTAGGGCCCCGCCCGGCCAGTGCCCGCGGGCGGACCGGGCCTGGGTGCCTGGAGACGCCTGCCGCCCGCAGCGAGCTGGCCCGGGATGGAGAAATGGGATTCGCGGCTCCCTTTGCCTGTCCATTTATGAATCAGTGCCCCGACACGGATAGTTTATGCGACTTCTTCTGTGAAATGGGAGCCTGGCCTCCTAGAAATCAAAGTTTAATGGAACTAAGCTGGCTGAAATTGCAAATGGACTTCAGTGCCATTTTCTGCCTTCTAAGTGGCTCAGTATTATTCCCATTGAGAGAGAGCAGAGTGTGCATTAGAAGCCAGCCTCGTGAATGTGGCATTAGTTGAGGTGCCCATTGGTTTCTGGTGTTTAGGGAAATGATGGAGGTTGGTTTATTCAGAAATATTTGGGTGCTCAAATTTTAATAGGCATAAAAATCATCTGGGCGTCTAACATGTAGTTTATAATTTAGTAAGTTTAGGGTAAAACTTGAGATTCATTTCTGGGAAGCAACTGGGTAATGCTGAAGTTGCTGATATCTTCACACAATTGCTTTTGATATTTTTCCTTGCATTGTACTAGTTTTTCTTGCTTGTTGGAATATCTTCAAATCTTAAAAAGGTAGGGTGTGAAGTGACAGCTCCTCAGAAAGAACCGTTATGTGGTTTCAGGTCTTATGTTTAAGTCTTTAACCCATTTTAAGGTATTTTTTGTGAGCTGTGTAAGATTGGGGGCTAATTTCATCCTGGGGCATGTCATTATCCAGTTTTTCCAACACCATTTATTGAAGAGACTATCCTTTCCCCATTGCACATTCTTAGCTCCTTTATCACATAGTAGTGGCTTATTTCTGGGCTCTTGATTCTGTTCCATTGGTCCATGTGTCTATTTTTATGCCAGTACTCTACCATTCGATTACTATAACTTTGTAGTATCGTTTGAAATCAGCAAGTGTGATGCCTCCAGCTGTGTTCTTTCTCAGGATTGCTTTGGCTATTTGGAATTTTTTTGGTTCCATACAAATTTTAGGATTGTGAGTTCTATTGTGAACAATGCCATTGGAATTTTGATAGGAATTGCATTGAATCTGCAGATTGCTTTGAACACAATGGACACTTTAACAATATTAACTCTTCTGATCCATAAACACGGCATATCCATTTATTTGTGCCCTAAGGAAACACAGATTTGCTTTTTGTGGCTCTAGAGTGACTGTATTTTATAGTTTCAGATAATTTGGATCATGTTTACTTCTTCAACACGAAGTTTTAAAATTCATTAATGTTATTGTGCGTGTGTCTTCAATATATTCCATTTCTATAGATGAATCACATTTTAAAAAGGAATTTACCTATCCATTCACATATGGGCTGTTTGCATTTTGAGGCTATGAAGAACAAAACTCTATAAATATTGGTGTACAGTTCTTTGTGTGAACATGTATATTTCTCTTTAGAGACACCTGAGATTGGAATAAGTGGGTCATATTTCACATGGAAAACCTGTTAGGATTTTTTGTTGTTGGTAATCCTCATTGAGGATATTTTCCCCATTGATTTGTAGACAGAGTGGAAGGGAGGGGGAGAGACAGAGAGAGAGAAACATCAATGTGGGAGAGACACATAGATTGGTTGACTTCTACAAGTGCCCAAATGAGGACTGGTGTCTGGGATCGAGCCTGCAACTGAGATACATACCCTTGATGGAATTGAACCTGGGATCCTTCAGGCCACGGGCCAGCAGGGCAACCACTGAGCCAAATTAGCTAAGGCTTTTAGGAATTTTTTTAAGGCAAAGTACTTAAACCATTTTCATTTATATCAGTGATGTAAGAAAGTACTAGTTAGTTTTCATCCTAGCCAACAGTTGGTATAATCAGTCTTTTTCATTTTATGAATTCAAATGGACATATAATAGTATTATTTCGCATTTCCCATGTTTTCATGTACTGTACTTGGTTACTTGCATGTTTGTTTAGAAATGTCAGTTCATATATTTTGTACATTTTATTGGATAGCCGGAGTTCAAATTTTTAAAATATATTTTGTGGTCAAAAGACACATTCAGGCCTATATGACATTCACTGAGATTGATCTGGAGGCCCAGCAGATGGTCTATTTTCGTCTTCCAGTGTACACTTGAAAGAATAGGTGTTCTGTTGATGTTGGGTGGAATGTCTTATAAATAGCAGTAAAATTCTTGAATGGTAGTGCTATCTTCTACATCTTTAATAATTTTCTATTTGTTGCATCAATTTTCAAGAGAGGAAAGCTATGGTTCAGTTATAATTGTGGATTTACCTATTTTTGAGTTCTAGTTTTTGCTTAATGTCTTTTGATGCTTTATTATTGGGTGTATCTATTTATGATTATGTCTTTGTGATGAAAACTGAAACTTTCATTATCATAAAGTGTTCATCTATACAACCAGTAATATGATTTATTCTGAAGACGAATTCATGTTAGTAACATAGCCATTCTAGTTTTAGGATTTGTGTTTTCATGGGACATAGTGTTGCATCTTCTTATTTTTATACCTATCAATGTTCATATGCAAAGCATGTTTGCGGTAGACATATTGTAGTTCTTTTTGCCTTTTTTAAAATCCAGCTTGACAATCTCTGCCTGTTGGGAGAAATTTCTCCATTGGACTTCCATGTTTCTGTATGTTCTCTGAGCAAAGGTTTTAATATATTTTCCCCTATACCCGTGGTCGGCAAACTGCGGCTCGCGAGCCACATGCGGCTCTTTGGCCCGTTGAGTGTGGCTCTTCCTAAGCCTTAGGAGTACCCTAATTAAGTTAACAACAATGCATCTACCTATATAGTTTAAGTTTAAAATATTTGGCTCTCAAAAGAAATTTCAATCGTTGTACTGTTGATATTTGCTCTGTTGACTAATGAGTTTGCCAACCACTGCCCTAGACTGTCTTTTTAAGGATGTTATATAGTAAGTAAACTTGGATGATAGTTTACAGCAGATTTGTTTACTGTCCAGTATAGTGGAGATAATATCTTTCTCTGGAGCAAAGTTGGGCAAGTTTCTTAGCAGCCCCGTAGGTAAGATTGGGGCTTTCTTAGTTGTACCATGAACCCAGAGTGTACACAGTATCCACCTGGCACAGCTCTGCCTCTCCTCATGGGGCTTGGCGAGTCAAGGGAACCAACGTAAGCATGGGTTTGATACTGCCCGCTGTGCCAGACATAATAAAGTTATTGTTCTCCACCCAGTAAGTCTGTTTTCAGCCAGCATCTATGAAACTGTGACAGTCTAACTTGTTTCTTCTAAGTAGAATAACATTTTGAATTCTTCACAGTTCTTGATACTGCCTTTTAATTGGAGTGTTTAGACCATCTAGGTTTAATGTAGCTATTGATTATTTGGGATTTAACCTATTATTTTGCCATTTGTTTTCTTTATTATTAAATCCATTCTTTTCTTTTTCTATCTTCATTTGGATGGATTTTAAGTATTCCATTTTTATCACTACTTAGTTATATTTCTCTGTGTGTATGGTTTCTCTAGTACCTACAACATGTCTTTAACATATCCAAGTCTACCTTCAAATAGTATACTTTTTCTCCTAAAATATAAGAAATGTTTGATGATTGTACTCTCCCACCCTTTGTTATTGTTGTCATACATTTACCTCTGTGTGTTATTACAGCCATAATAATTAATTTTGCTTAAAAGAGTCAGTTCATTTTAAAATCAAATATTAGAATAAAGTGATTTTATATTTACTTGTATGTGCATTATTTCCAGAGCTTTTTATTGTTTTGTGTAAATCTAAGAATCTATCTGATACTATTTTTCTTCCACCTAAAGAGCTTTTTCCTACTGTTGATATTTTTTTTGGCACTTCTGAAAAAAAGTCTGAATTTTTTGCCTTCAGTTTTGTTCCATATAAAACTTTAGTTTCACAGGTTTTTCTTTAATCAATTCTTTAAAGATGTCATTCTGGCTTACATAGTTTTTAATGAGGTTTGTGGATGTTTATGCTTGTTTCTCAATATTTAATGACCATTTTCCCCTGCTGTTTTCCTTTCTCTTTTCAATTATTCAGCAATTCAGTTATGAGGTAATTTGATAAATGTTGGTCTTTATATTGCTTGTTTATTAAGCTTTTTGGATCCATGGGATTAATTTTAATTAAATTTGGAAAAGTTGTGGGAATTCGTTTTTACTCCCATCCTCCCCTATTTAGACATTCTCAATTATTCATATGTTAGACCACGTGATATGGTGTGACATGTCAGCGAGGCACTAATAAATTTTCCAGTCTGTTTCTTTTGTCTCAGTTTGGATTATTTCTCTTGCTATATCTGCTATATCCTCAATTTCATGACTTTTTTTTTTTTTTTTTACAGCTAATATACTGTTAATCTCATGACTTTTTAAAGTTTAGATTTTTTCAGTTATACAAGTTCTATTTAGTTCTTTTAAATATTTTTTATTCCTCTCTTTGTTCATGTTTTTCTTTAAATTACTGAACATAGTTAACATATATTTTATTTAAATTAATTCTTCTAATTATGTAACTTCTTTTCATTTCTGTGTTTCTTTCTATTGACTTGATTTTTCTGATTATGTGTTACATTTTTTCTGCTTCTTAACATGCCTAGCAATTTTGATTGGATACTAGACATTGGACATTGATAGTGGACTAAGATTACACAGATCTGACTTTGTTGAGTTTCACACTGTGAACATGCAGTTTAGCATTCAGCAAAGACTCACTGCAAGCCATGTAAGAGCTACAAAGTGCTGTGTATAGTTCCTTATGCTCTGGAAATTCCGCCTACAACTTCCAGCTGCCCCAGACTTCCTGAATTGTTATCTCTGTTGCTCAACTCATCCTCAACCCAAGAAAATTGCCGTGCTCTGCTTATAACTCTTTTTTCTGCATCAATATCTGGATTG